TTTCTACACAACCGTGTTAGTATGTTGCCTAGTGACACTCCCATTCAAGTTCCACTACCTAAGGCAATGTTCCACTTTGATGAGGATGCAGTTGCATGGCTTAGCAAAGAAGATGTGAAAGAATTTCTAAGTGGTTCAATGCTTAACATCTCCCTCGTTCAAACATGCATGAGGTAATTTAATGCCAGACACTATTATGTTATTCTGATTAGTGGTGATTGCTTGTCATTTAATTTCCCATTAATATTTTGTTACCATGCATGCAGAGCACTACAGGAGCACTTACTTGAGATTGATTCTCCGTGTCAAGTAGGGTGGTTATGCCCCGAGCAAATCTCCACTACTAGAATCTTAGGCAACTACCCTGACGTGTTGTCCTATGTTGAACGGGGTATCAAGGAATCATTGCGTGCGGGTAACAAGTTCATATTCGCCCCATGTTTTGAGGAGTACGTTTGACCATGTCAAATTCATTTGTTTCCCCTAATTATATGTTTTACACGGCTAATTATTGACTTGTTTGTGTATTGTCCATTTCTGTAGTGCACATTAGACCCTGCTGGTGATTTGTGTTCCCAGTAACACCATCTTCCTTTTTGATTCAGATCGATTGCCTCATCCGAAAAAGCTCCTCGTGAAGTCTATACTGCGAAAGTAAATATAGCTATCTAGTGTTGATTATCCTTACTTAACTCATTAATTATATTAGTCATACTAATCAAGTTTGAACTTACTTTTCTATAGCGCTATGAAGAAGATAAATTGCCAAGCTCCTCAAGGTCCTACATGGAAATCACCGATGGTAATGCTACATGATTTTGTGATTTTTATAATAAACGATGCGTAAGATGTTGCTAATTTGTTATGCATGTTTGATTCATTTACTGTGTTCCTATGCTAGTGCGCACAACAAGATAACGGAGTTGATTGCGGATTATACGTGATGAGATTCATGTTGGACATAATGAGTCATTGCACGGACTTACAACAGCTTGATGAGGTATGCCATTGACTTAGTTAATTTGCTTTTGTGGTGTGTTTTGATAAGAGAAAACCCTTGAATTGCGTCTTAAAACCCTTGAATTGCTCTAAATAGGTAATAATGACATGTTAAGAGGAAGAATGAGCTATTTTGATCAAAAATATAGAAAATAGGCATACAAGTAGGGATATAGGCCTTATTTCGGCCATTTTGAATGAAATTTCGTCTTAAAACACTTGAAATTATCTTTTAATGTTATTTCAAGCCTTAGCCGCCTCTAACTAGGTAATAATGACATGTTAAGAGGAAGAATGAGCTAATTTGATTAAAAATATAGAAAATAGGCATACAAGTAGTGATATAGGCCTTATTTAATGTGATTTCAAGCCTTAGCTGCCTCTAAATAGGTAATAATGACATTTTAAGAGGAATAATGAGCTAATTTGATAAAAATAAAATATAGACAATAGGCATACAAGTAGTGATATAGGCCTTATTCGGGCCATTTAGGTTGAAAATGCGTCTTAAAACACTTGACTTTCTCTCTTAATGTGATTTCAAGCCTTAGATACCTCTAAATAGGTAATAATGACATTTTAAGAGGAAGAATGAGCTAATTTGATCAAAAATATAGAAAATAGGCATACAAGTAGTGATATAGGCCTTATTCGGGCCATTTAGGTTGAAAATGCGTCTTAAAACACTTGACTTGCTCTCTTAATGTGATTTCAAGCCTTAGCTACCTCTAAATAGGTAATAATGACATGTTAAGAGGAATAATGAGCTATTTTGATCAAAAATATAGAATATAGGCATACAAGTAGTGATATAGGCCTTATTCGGGCCATTTAGGTTGAAAATGCGTCTTAAAACACTTGACTTGCTCTCTTAATGTGATTTCAAGCCTTAGCTACCTCTAAGTAGGTAATAATGACATGTTAAGAGGAAGAATGAGCTATTTTGATCAAAAATATAGAAAATAGGCATACAAGTAGTGATATAGGCCTTATTCGAGCCATTTAGGTAGAAAATGCGTCTTAAAACAATTGACTAGCTCTTTTAATGTGATTTCAAGCCTTAGAATTGCTCTAAATAGGTAATAATGACATGTTAAGAGGAAGAATGAGCTATTTTGATCAAAAATATAGAAAATAGGCATACAAGTAGTGATATAGGCCTTATTCGAGCCATTTAGGTAGAAAATGCGTCTTAAAACAATTGACTAGCTCTTTTAATGTGATTTCAAGCCTTAGAATTGCTCTAAATAGGTAATAATGACATGTTAAGAGGAAGAATGAGCTATTTTGATCAAAAATATAGAAAATAGGCATACAAGTAGTGATATAGGCCTTATTTCGGCCATTTTTAATGAAATTTCATCTTAAAACACTTGAAATGCTCTTTTAATGTTATTTTAAGCCTTAGCCGCCTCTAACTAGGTAATAATGACATTCTAAGAGGAATAATGAGCTAATTTGATTAAAAATATAGAAAATAGGCATACAAGTAGTGATATAGGCCTTATTTCGGCCATTTTGAATGACATTTCGTCTTAAAACACTTGAAATGCTCTTTTAATGTTATTTCAAGCCTTAGCCGCCTCTAACTAGGTAATAATGACATGTTAAGAGGAAGAATGAGCTAATTTGATTAAAAATATAGAAAATAGGCATACAAGTAGTGATATAGGCCTTATTTCGGCCATTTTGAATGAAATTGCGTCCAAAAACCCTTGAATTGCTCTTTTAATGTGATTTCAAGCCTTATCTGCCTCTCACTATGTATTAATGACATTTTAAAAGAATGAATGAGTGAATTTGATAAGAAATGTAGAAAATAGGCATACAACTAGTGATATAGGCCTTATTCGGGCCATTTAGGTTGAAAATGCATCTTAAAACACTTGACTTGCTCTTTTAATGTGATTTCAAGCTTTAGCTGCCTCTAACTAGGTAATATTGACATGTTATGAGGAAGAATGAGTTGATTTGGCAATAAATGTAGAAAATAGGTGAAGTAGTAGTCATATAGGCCTATGTATTAAATTTTTGTCTAACTTAAATTGTAAATGTATTTTTACATACATAACCTAAGTAATTAATTCTAGCTAACATCATTTTTGTTTAACCAAGTTTTGCAAGGTACCAAAAGGAGGTCCATTGACGAGCAAAGAGCTGAATGAAGTTCGAGACATGTTACTGTCTTTCATCACATATAATTTAATTTGAACTTGTTAACTTATACATTAATTATTAGTATAGTTTGTAAATATAACACCTTTTAATTAATGAGTTCTAGCTATAGTTTGTAAATATTTATGTATTGTTGTTATTATTCCAATGTAAAAATTATTATATTATTAGTATTTTTAATAATAATATTATAATAATAATAATACGGGTAATAATTATTATTATTATTACTGTTATTATAATATATATTAATGGCAGAATTCATACGGGATGTGCAGGTATTTAATTATTTTTAATTTTAAAAAAAAAAATTTAAAAAAAAAACAGGTTTTTGCCACCGGTTTACACATTGAACCGGTGCCAAAATATTTTCCAAAACTGGCGGGCAAACTTTTGCCACCAGTTCAATGTGTAAACCGGTGGGAAAAACCTTGGTTTTGCCACCAGTTCACCCCATAACCGGTGGGGAAAGTCTGCCATCTATAACATCAATCAAGTGTTTTTGCCACCGGTTCACTCCAAAACCGGTGGGAAAAGTTGTTTTTGCCACCGGTTTTGAACCGGTGGGAAATCTTTGAGGATTTACCACCCCCCAAATCAAGAACGGTTCAAAACCGGTGGCTAATGTGTGGTTTGAACCAGTGGGGATTGGGGTTTTTCGCCTAGTGGATGTTGGTTTCATTCGGCAATGCTACTTCCCTGATTGGGTTACAATTTTGTGCTTGTAAAAAAGCCGAATGGAACCTGGCGCATGTATGTAGACTACACAGACTTGAACAAAGCATGTCCAAAGGATAGCTATCCTCTCCCAAAGATCGACAGTCTGGTCAACTCTACAGCCGGCCATGCCTTGATGAGTTTCATGGACGCCTATTCAGGCTTTCACCAGATACCCTTGTGGAAGAAAGATCAAGAAAGACGGCATTCGTCATTGATCAAGGGTTATTCTGCTATAAAGTGATGTCGTTTGGTTTGAAGAATGCGCCTGCTACCTTCTAGAGAATGATTGATACAGTCTTCATTAATCAAATTGGAAGGAATGTGGAGGCATACATTGATGATATGATAGTCAAATTCAAACTTCAAACGGACCATCTTACAGATCTCCGAGAAACATTCGCCACACTCAGGCGGCACCAGGTCATGCTCAATCCCAAGAAATGTGTTTTTGGTGTTGAGTTTGGGAAGTTTCTCGAATTTCTGATTGATCAAAGGGGGATAGAGGCTAATCCAGAGAAAATATAGGCTGTCATAGACATGCAGTCGCCCCGTACTGTGAAGGAAGTTAAAAAATTAACAGGTTGCCTGGCGGCATTAGGGAGATTTCTCAGTTGGTCAGGCGACAAGTGCCTCTATTTCACTACTACATTTAAGAGCTAATACAACGGCTTTTTCTGTAGTATTAGGTGTCAAAAACCGTTGTATTAGACCTAATACAACGGCTAACAACCGTCACATTTGCTGGGGTTGGATTAGGTCTAATACAACGGCAAAAGTGACCTAATCCAACGGATTGAGCAATCCGTTGTATTAGGTTCCTTTTTTTGTTTTTGGGAATAATTGGACCTAATCCAACGGATTGCTCGCCCAATCCATTGGATTAGGTCCTTTTTTTTTTTAATCCGTTGTATTAGTCTTTATTTTTATTTTTTTCCTTTTGATACCGTTGTATTAGACCTTTTTTTTCTTTTTATTTTGGAAAACCGTCGTATTAGGTAATTTTCTTAATATTTTTTTTTGGAATATATAATTATATATTATACCAATATATATATTATATATAATTAATTAGTTTAAATCTAAAAGGTATAATATATAATAAATATAAATTATATTAGTAATTAAAAATAAACAAAGTGCTTATAATATATTCGTTGCATTACAAAATAAACGAAGTGCCGATACTAACTAATAATAAATGAAAGTTCACTAATTAATTAACAATCGTTTGAAATAAAATTAGTACTTGCAATAGATACATAAAATCAACATTAGTCCGTACTTCATTCATCCCGGGGTAGCTCATCGTCATCAAGCACCTACACGTAAAAATAATAATAATAATATATTAGGACAAGGTATATAATTCAACATTAGGGACAAGTAACAAATAATATAATGCATATAAGCCAAACAAAAGCTAAAACAAGTAATGCATAAGCCACAACACCAACAACGTAACAACAACAATAACAACACCAATTGGGGAAATTAAATAACGCACAACAACACGAACACACAACACACAACACAACAACACGACACAACATCACACAACGCAGCACACAGCAGCAGCAGGCAGGCAGCAGCAGCAGCAGTAGCAGAATAACTGTATTGTACTGTCTTCCATTTCAAATGCCATATGATGCTATAAGTAATCAGAATACCTTTATACGTATCACTGGAGTCCAGAGATGAGTGGAATTCTAAGGTTTCACCTCATACATTGAGGGTCTCACATGGTATCATAAATGCCTATTTTCATCAATTAGTCTCCACCAGACTATATATCCTAACCACTCTTTAGTAAGATACTTCATGAATAATAATAGTGTTTAACTTAATTAAACAACAATAAGGAATCCCTAAATTCAGAAAGATACTCCTGGAAATGAGAACTAAGATGTTTAGTTGCTTTATTGATAGTGACTCTCATCCTAGCCCCAAAACTTGAGTTTCCAAAAATTTAAGACGAGCAAAAAAAAAAATATTTCAAATCAGAATAAATTGGATGACAAAACTAATATTACTAGTGTAGATGAGCAAACCTGTCTTTGAACAAAATTAATCATCTAAGTAAATAAGTTCGTTCATTCTTACAGATTTATGCTCCCAGTCCTCAGTGGACAACTTGTTAATCCTAAGCTGATATTAGATGGGACCATCCATGTGATATCTAGAGAGCTAACTCTGTCCAAAAGGGAAAAAAAATAGTTAAATGCAATCCACATGCGTCAATAAAAAAGGTTTACCTTGCCTAAGCCAAAATCTAATGCAAGTCTTTGCAATTTTCCACCAGAAATATTCATAGCTTCTTGATCCATTAACAGCTCAATTCAAAAAAGCTTTATAACATTTGAAATAAATTGGGGATTAGTATATATCAATAGTCTTGCTACAACATATAGCGAAATTCATTCCTTACTTCACCCAAATTGTAAATGAATCTAGATGAAAAAAGAATATGGTCAATTTGTTTGCTATGAAACCACACATCCACTTCAATAAGCACTATTAGCTTGTCAAACTGCTTATATATATTTTTTTTAAGTTTTTTTTTATAATTCATCCCTCACCACGTTCTTTTAAACTTCATTATTTCAGTACTTGTAAGTGTAGATACTAGTATCACATACTGTTAAGCTTTTTACCCATCTAACAATTGAACGAATTCACTAAAACTTCCCCATGTACCCACTCCCAAAGTCCCAAAGCTAAGTCTCAATACAACACCTTCACCCAAAACTCTACTGTACCCCCTCCCCCCAAACCCAACACACAAAATCAATATTCTTATAATTTATACACTACAACTCTAATACCACCAGGGAAAAAAGGAAAAAAAAAAAAAAAAAAAAAGTATATATATATACATGCCTCACACTCTGGATATGTAAAAGTTGTGCATCCTAAAAATAATTAATAGGTATCTAATTATGTACTACAATTTAATCAACCTAATTTGTAATCTTGAGTTGAAGAACCTTCGTATACTCCAAAGATTTTAACAAGGTTCAATATAGGGTTATCTAGTGATTAGGATGGGGTCATTGGGTTATAATGCAAGCTGATACGATACAAAGACCCTATAATGGAAAACAAATATTGACAACTAAGAATCATGGATTTAAAAAACAGAAGGAAAAATATAAAGGAAAAGAAGATGAAACAGGAAAGTACATTTCTCTTTAAAGAACCTGATTCATTTTCTTATCCTAAAATCATTCTTTGTACAAATGATTAATCAAATTACAAGGGTGTAAAGCTTTTGCATCATACAATGCAAGAAAAAATTCAAACATCAATACATTCATAGCCCTCCTAAACCTATTAAAAATTATATGTTCAGTTACAACCAAAGTATTTTTTACAGAGTGGGTTCAGTCTTTTACAACGATACATGTTAAGTGGGGAATTTCTGGGTTAGACTTTTCATTATAAGATTCGAAAGGTTGATAATTATTATAAATTAGCTAAGAGATACTATGAAAATCTTACTACTGTAAGTATGATCCTGAAATTTAAAAACATTCCCACAAATAATTTGATAAGAAATATCATTTGTTCAAAGACCCATTAATTTCAAGTAGTGCAAACTCATATAAACGAAAATCATAGACCTATTAAAAGAAAAACCAATACATAGTTTATTCATTTATTTCAAAAAAACAAATGCAGAAAACCAATTAACGTATGAACTAGAAAGGAATGTACATACCTTGTCATGAAATCCCCTAAATTCTTGAAAAGAATGAATATAAATTTGAAACATGTCAGCAAATACATATTTGAAAACGAAATTAAACAAAGAGAAACACTAAATTACCAATCGAAACATGTAATAGATGGGGAAAAAAGCCCCTAAAGATCAATACTTTATAGGGAGAGAAAAACATACCTGAATTAGGCCGTCGAAAAAATTAAGATAGATTATTGAAATAATCATCAATTTTGTTTCCTCAATTTGTGGTAGATCTAAAAGATCATGCAAAAGAGAGGGAATTAGAGAAACAATTGATTTGACAGAGGAATTCGAATAATATATAATCAAATTTATCATCAAGATTACTAGAAATTGACAACTAAATAAGGAATTTTCTACAATTTAAAGCCCAATTCACTGAATTAAAAAAAAATATCAGAAAAAATCAAAATAACAAAATAAGCATAAAAACAAAAACCCTTGAAATTAAAATATAAAGAGAAAGGAGAAAATACCGAAAAACAATTAGAATGTATACCAAATATGATGAAATCAAAGAGCTTCTTCCAGTTTAGTTTGTTGCTGGGTCTGCAACTTTGGAGAGCGATGAATTGATGAGAGAATTTTAGTGAAGGCTAGGGTTTAGTTATTAGAGAGTAAAAGGAACGGTTTTGATGTTTTCCGGCTTTTCCCCCAATTTTGTTCAAGTTCGCAAGCTACATGTGCTTATCACGTGATTAATATTCAGGACGCTTATTTGGGTCAACAATAAGTGATGACGCTGAAAAGCGTCAAAAAAACACGGGAATCCAATTTTCCACTGACGCTCTGTTGACTGCGTCGAAAAACAATGGGTTTTGTAGTAATTGCCACTGATATATGCTACTGGACTGCTGATGACAGTGTTCGAGGTACAAACTATCCTAATTTCTGTAAGCAAGTTTCAGATTACATGACATATCTTTTGCTTAGGCAGAAGTCATTGGTATCACTGGTGGTGGGAATGTATGAGATTCGATTCGAGGATACGTGTGAAGAGGCTAAGAAGGTTATGAACCGGAACGTAGACAGTGGTTGGTTTACAAGAATATGTGCAGGGGCTAAGAAGTTTGTAACCAAGAAATTGATGTGTCAGATTTCATAAATAGAAGGCCAAAATACATGTCCAAAAAAATACAGCATTAAACAAAAAAAAAACGATTGATAGAAATAAACAACAATCCAATCCGATCAATAAACAAGCAACAATGAAATGCAAAAGTCAAACGATAAATAAAAAAAAAAGGATCAAAATGCAGAAAATATAAGTAAAATTAGCTGATTGAACACGGAATATGTCAATAATCTTGCTGCACAGTGAGTACATAAGTCCTTAAGATGCAAACAGAGGTTCTGCATGGTTAAGTATAGGATATCACATTCTCACTAGAAATAAAATCTGATCATATTTTCTTCTTAAAATAAAAGAACCTATTGCACGAAACACATTTCTTTAAGCATCTAATGACAGAAAGCTCTACATTGTATTAGTAGAACAAAAATTGGAAAATGTAACCTATTGTATTAGACACTAGACAAGAGATTCTCCTTGAAGTTTCATGTGAAAAGGTAATGCTGCTTGACTAGGGATCATGAATCTGCCCATGGATTTATATTGACTTCGTGTAAATAAACATGCTAGGAATATCAAAATAAGGGAAGCAATAGTAAACGCCTAATTATTACTTGCTGAAACATAGAATTGAGCACAAGGCACATGGTCTGCTACTAAAGAAATCAAAGCTAGCTTAAACTACTTGCAGAGTCACATGCCTAATAATGAAGCCTTTAGCAGATTCAATTACATTGAATGAAACTAATCATAATGCCAAAACATTCAATTGTTTGTAAACTTGACTTCTGGTAGAAATTATAACAAAACAAGTTAAATAGCATAAATATTTTCCATGATTAACCATAAGTCATGGACTGAAAACATTTGAAAGTAACAACTAAGTGAAATTCTCATTCCTAATAACAGTGAAAATAAATTAAATCCAACCAAGTCTTAAACACAATAACCTCCCAAAACAATAATGGCACAGCATAAAAATGAAATTAAAGATGAAATTAGAAGCAAAAACTCACGGTGCTAAAACTAATCGGGGATAGTTTCGAACAAGACTCTCCGTCTCATCAAATGACTCCACACCAGTCTCCCAAATAATATGCAAATTCGGCCGCTGCTCCAATATTTGAAAGTATATATTAAATAGAGCAATGTTCATAGAATTAGCCCCAAAGGATCCCCCAAGCACTAGCAGCACCACCACCTCAGAATCTGAAACGGCTAACAGAAGGTTTATGCAGATCATATATCAGTCCATGATTCACAAAGGGAAATTTTTACTTCAGTAGTAGTACGTCTTGTGTGCTATGTCTTTAGATTGCAGTAAGATTTATTTAGGTGTTTTGATATTGCCCGCATTGTCTTGAAATTAGATAAGTTTTACAATATTACTAGTGTGTAGATACTAGATAGATTATGCAATTTAATTTATTGGCAGCACCTTTGTTTTCGCTACATATATAAGCGAGGGAAGTAACACTGACAAATCCTAAGTGGAAATCAAGTATTCCCAAATAAACCCCCAACAAAAATTAGGGTTCATAAATCGAAAAACCACCCCCAACAACCACCCTCAAGCAAGCAATCAGCCACATGCAACATTCGAACAAATCAACAAATCTAAATCCAAATATTCGAGCAATCAGCCACATGCAAGGTTTAATCTAACACTAAATACAAAACAAAATCAACAAATCCATAATTGGTAGACGAAAATTCAAGGTATACCTACCTTAGATAGAGATCGAGCACAGTAGAACAAAACGGCGAGGTAGGAGACGACGCAGCGGCGGCGAGGGAGGAGAATGAAGGAAGGAGCAGCGGCGAGTTGAGGGAGGAGAACGAAGGAAGACTGAGCTGAGAAGTTTGGGAAATGGGGTTTCAATTTCATTTTTGGCTCTAATATTTCAGCATTTCCCGGTTTTTTTTTTTTTTTTTTTTTTACTCATCCGTTGTATTAGGTCTTAATCTTTTTTTCTTTATTTATTTTTTAGGGCTGATCCGTTGGATTAGCTCCAATTGAAAAATAGAAAAAAAAAAAAAAACAAAAATCGGGAACACTATCCGATGTGTTAGAAGAATAATCCGTTGTATTAGCTCATCTAATACAACAGATTAGTATATCTAATACAACGGTTAGTATAAACCATTGTATTAGCCCTGTCTTAGTGTAATACAACGGATTAGCCTAGTCTAATACAACGGTATGAAATTAGCCGTTGTATTAGCTATTTTTGTACCGTTGCATTAGATAAAAAATGTAGTAGTGTTTCTTCCAAGCAATCAAGAAGAAGACTATGTTTGAATGGGGGACGGATGCAGAGGCAGCCTTCCAAAAGTTGAAGGAACACTTGCACTCTTTGCCAAGGCTCGTCAGCCCTTTATAAAAGGAAGTGTTATACATGTACTTGGTCGTCTTTGATCATGCTCTCAGCGCTGTTCTCCTTGCTAGGAAAGAGACGGCTGCCAGCTCCTTGTCTATTTCATCAGCCATGTCCTGAAGAATGCTGAGTTATGGTACTCCATGGTTGAAAATTTTGGCCTGGCCCTCTTCATGGCAGTTAAGAAGCCGAAACCCTAATTCTTGGCACATCAGGTCGTGGTCTACACTAACCAACCAATCAAGCGGCCACTGAAAACCATGGAATCATCCAGCCGAATGATTAAATGGGCAATTGAAATGCAAAGCCTAGAAATTACTTTTGAGCCAAGGAAAGCAGTGAAGGGATAGGCACTTGCCGACTTCATTGTTGAAATGACCAGGCCGGCTAATCTAGAAAATCCTGACCAAGTCTGGAAGGTATATGTGGACGGGAGCTCCATAATGAACGGTTGTGGTGCAGGCGTCATATGTTAGTCTCTTGAAGGGGACAAATATGAATATGCACTGCGTTTTAAGTTCCAGGCCTCGAATTACGAGGCAGAATACGAAGCCCTACCAGCCGGAATCCGCATGTGTAAGGCGGTTGGGGCAAAGAAAGTGGACGCCTGCTCAGATTCGCAATTGATTGTTAGCCAATACCATCGTGACTATGAAGCCACACATCCGGCTATGATCAAGTATTTACAGGCGGTCAAAGAAGAGGCTTGGACACTTGAGGAATACCATCTAAGTCAAGTGCCCAGGTCCGTGAATAACCAGGCAGATGCCCTCTCCAAATTGGCATCATCCGCCTCTTGTGACACACCAAGGTCTATTTTCTGGGAAGTGATGGAAAAAGGGAGCATTGAGGAGGAACCCATTGGAGTCCTTGATCGAAGCGCAACCTAGATGGATGGCATCCGGGCATACTTAACAGACGGCATCCTACCGGATACTTACCCAAAGATGATCATAATGAAAAAGCGTGCGTCCAACTTTGAAATTCATAATGGGGAACTTTTCAAGAAAGGCTATCTTCAACCTCTTTTGAAGTGTGTTACCCCAGAAAAGGGCCGAGAGGTCCTCGAAGATTTACATTCAGGGTTCTGTGCCTCCCACATAGGCGGCAAGACCCTAGCAAAGAGAGCCAAGCGACAAGGCTACTTCTAGCCTACCCTTGAAGCAAACGCCATGGAGATGGTGAAAAAATGTGACAAGTGCCAAAGATTTGGCAAGCTCATCCATCGTCCGGCCATTGACCTGACGGCTATCCATAGCCCAGTACCATTCGCCAAATGGGGTATGGACATTCTGGGTTTATATAAGCCTCCTACAGGCGGACGGAGATATATTTGGTAGCAGTCGACTACTTCACCAAGTGGGTAGAAGCGGAGGCGGTCAAAGGCATCAAAACAAAATAAGTTATCTCCTTCATTTGGAAAAATGTAATCACCCGGTATGGGGTACCCATGTCTATGGTCTTTGACAATGGTCCTCAATTTGAGACGCCTGCTCTCAAGAGTTGGTTGGGAGACCAAGGGATCTCTCACTGTTTTGCATCAGTCGGCCGCCCCCAAGCAAACAGCCAGGTTGAAGCCTTCAACAAGTTAATCTCTTATGGCATTACAAAGAAAATTGAAAGAGCTGGCGGCCTATGGGCTAACGAGTTACCGCATGTTCTATGGGCCATCAAGACGACTGAAAAAGGGGCGACTAGTGAAACTCCATTTCTCATGGTTTATGGGGAAGAGGTTGTTCTGCCTATTGAGCACTATGAGCCGACTCTTCGAGTCATGCTTTATGACGAAGAGGCTGATTGGGAGGCCATGCCGCTAGCATTGGATTCACTTCTAGAACGCAAGGGTAATGCAGATTTGCGCCATGAGATCTACCGTCTGAGAATGACGAGAGCTTACAATAAAAGAGTGCACAAGCGGCCCCTAAAAGTAGGGAACTTTGTGTTACGAAAAATGGAAGCAATCAGTAGGGCCAACGAACAGGGAAAGCTGACTCCTAACTAGGATGGCCCCTACCGAATCTATGAAGAAGTTAAAGGCGGCACCTACCGCCTGGAAACACTAGACGGCAGGCAGCTAGCCAAAACATTGAACGTAGAGAACTTGAAAAAGTACTACTTCTGAGATGTGTAAATTATTTGTATATGTAAACATGTCAATAAAATTTGCAATTTATTTTTCAGTTTTTGCAAAGTCTCCTTAGTGGGGCAAGCCGCCTGTACAATACACAGTCGGCCTTATTTCTTTTAATCACTTACTCTCGCATGAGTAAAAATGTTAAGACTGGACAACTTAGCAAACTGTTCTTTTCTAAACAACCTAACGAGGCCACAAGCCGGATGATCAACCTGAGGCCCATGCCCGGATGATCACCTTGAGGCCTAAGGCCGAATGATCAATCTGAGGCCCATGGCCGGGTGATCCTTATAAAATTAAAACAATACGTCTGTCCCAAACAAGAGCAGGCGTCCGGCGACATCCATCTGGGTGAATTCGTCGCACAGAGCATCTCCCATTTGGGTGGCACATTGCTATATAAACCTAAAACAAACGACCCTACCGAATGTCCCCAAGACAACCTCGTAGTCGTTTGACTTAAGACAAAGATAAACGTACCGCCCTAAACTACAAACACACGGTAGACAGTTAAAATCTAAGTCAGTAACCGCCTGTTATTGCTTGGGACAATACAGTCGGTATAATTTGAGTAAATGAGCTAAGAAAAACTTGGCGAATAAAGAGGTACCATGTGGCCAAAGCCGCCTGTTTCTTCTAATCACTCAAATCAAAGTGACAAAGATTGATTAACCCTAATGGTTAACTCATAGTCACTCCCGCAAACATGGGATGGAACCTAAACGATACGAACCAAACCGCCTGCTTTTTGGCAAACTGACGTACCCAGCCACTATTCCTCTAAAAGTTTGCAAGCACTAAAAATTGTAAACAGAAAAACAACATGGGGCCACAGCCAACTATTTCTTTTGTTCAAGTGACGGAGACTGATTAACCTCAAAAGATTAACTCATAGTCACTCACACAACCTACAATGGAATCTAAAAGGTACGAATTAAGCCGCCTATCCTTGTAATAAAGAGATGACATTCGACCACTATTCCTATTTTGGTTAGCAACACTGTGGAAGCTACTTTGATTAAAAACATCCAAATTGGTGCCTGTTCTGTACAAGCACCAAGCAGACAGACTATTAACAATCAATAAAATAAACTAAGTCCAAAACTTAGTGGCAAAAGCGAGGTTCGTTAAAGAACTATATTGAGGATGAAAGCCGGATAATGGTGTGTGTCCGCCTTTCATATAGCCGCATGTCCGCCTGGTTTGGGGCAATCACTATAGTGATTGATTGACCCAGAAATCAGTCATACTCTTTAAAGAATTAAAGATTTTCAAGTCAATCCATCAACCATAGAAAACCAGGTGCACAGCCGGCTAGAGGCAAGAACAGTCGGCATACCAAAATAATCGGCACTTGAAAAACGCAGCATTCATAGAAAAAGGCAAGCTACACTTGGCAAAATTCATGGTTTGCATAAAAAAAAATTCAAATTCAAAGTTTGAAGAAAACGGCCAAAACGGCCGAAAATTTAATATTAACAGTCAGCCAGGAGACCGACAAGACTGTTAAAATTTTAAATTGTCAAACCCCGACCCCTTGGTCGAATAATGATACTGAACAAGCGGCACATAGGCCGAAGAAAGTTGACATATAAGAAAAGCGGGAGTTCAAGCAGTTGGAGGGCGTTCAGTGTCGGCAGCCGCTTCCTTTGGATCCTCAACCGACGGCTGTTCTTTCTCGGCATCCGCCTCCTCCTACGGTGGCTCTTCTTCGGCATCCGCCTCCTCCTCCTCCTCCTTGTCATCCCCTTCCTGGTCTGACTCCCCGAAAGTGGAGTCAGACGCCTCATCCTCCGCATCCTCCTCGTCGTCTGCCTGCTCCATGATCTTCCTGTTGTATTGATCAGTACAGGCGACGAATTGGCTCTCGTATTTTTCATAGCTGGAGTTTGGGAAGAGGGCCGCCCAGATCATCTTCATAATGGTGCTGCATTCGTCCATCATGTCCTGAACAATGGCCATCTTCTCCTCGCCAGCTTTCTCATTAAGCTTTTGGATGAGGTCAGCCTCTTGATTCTGCAGGCGGCCCTTGAGTTTATTTACCAGGGCGCGGAGTCCCTCGGCTTCCTTGTCCGCCTCCTTGAGAGGCGTCATCTCAACTTTGAGGTCCTTTACAGACTTCTCTAGCTCCAAGATCTTCTTCCTGGCCGCCTCTATGTCCTTCTTGACCTGCAAAGTGGCGGACGCCCAGTAATACAGTATATCAATGGTCAGAATCTTGTTTTGAGCTATCTGGAACATAGCTTTATCAGAATCAGAGCCGGCCATGGCCTTCACAGCTTTTACCTCTTTGTTCTTTTCGGAGATGGGTTTGCGGAGACCATACGCTCGCAGCATAGACTGCACTCGGCCAAAAACAGTCGTCAGTTACAGGCGACCAGACAAATATTTCAATGACAAAAAAAAGAGAGAGAACTTTTTATTAAGTATACCTCGGCAAGGAGAGCTAAGATGGCTTCAAGGTTAAGGGTGCCGACTCCCTTAACAGACTTCCTGTCCTCAACAGGGATGGCCTTCAACATGGACTTGGCCATCTGAACCAGGTCTGGCTCTTGAGGGGCATCTGCAAAGTAGACCCTGATTAATACGCGGCATAAAAACAGAAAACAAGCCGCCTGATTTCAGAGGAGTCGGTTGCTTGATGAAACTTGGGAAATTTGAACAAATTATACCTCTCGCCGCCTCTTTCTCTCTCGGAGGCCGGCTGCTCCCAGGGGCAGCTGCAGTTCTTCCCCCACTTTAGGGAGTCCTTCCTTGCCTTTCGGCTGCATGTCTCTTGGCGTTGCCAGGAGTCAACACATCCCCAGTCGTCTGTTTCCTGACCTTGGGGTCCGGCTGGGAAGAGGAGGAAGGTCAAGCTACGTCGCTCTGCACCACAAGTCATTGAGTCATAAACACGCAACATATATGAAAAGAAATTGTGCTAAGTTAAAGTAACAAACCTTGGGCGCCTGTTTGGCAGGCGACTCCTTAGTAGACCGCTTGCCCAGAATGGCCGCGTGGATTTGGGCGACTGCTTTCTTGGAGGCCGAGATTTTGTCCATAGATTTATCTGAAAAAGATGAATCAAATGGTTAAACGATGAATCAGTCAAGTCTTTCAAGACACTCTAACAGGCGGTTCACTACTTCTCGGCATCTCCTCGCTAAGGCCGCAGGAGGCCAAATATGTCCCATCGTATAACCAGTTATACTTTGGGATGTAATTTTGAGGGATAAACTCCCTCACCCCATTCTCGAGGTTCGCCTGTATATCAACTTTGAAGAGCCCTCGATCTAGGATCTCTTCTTTTGCTCTTTGAGGAACATGCGGCAAATCAGATTCGCCTGTCAAGTAAGGTGGATTCCTGTTCCACCCTATTGAACTTCTTGTTCTTGAACTTGTCAGGGTGGGAGACTATGTAGAAGGTGTTCCTCCATTCCTTCCACTTGTTCACTTTCCCCATGGTCATCATGTAGCCCTTGTGGCTAATTAGCTGGAACCAGCCGGCCCCGCTTGGTTTTGGGGTCCGATTGAGATAGTTCATGTGAGAGAATGCTTCGAAGTTAGGCTCTACTTCATGCATCTCACAACCGGCAACATAGCCTAAAATATTGAACCATGAGTTTGGGTCCAGTTGCCAGACTCCCAGTTGGTGCCCATCCGAAATCCTCTCTACAGCCGGATGTAGAGGAAATCTTAAACCAACTTTAATAGCCGCCTCATAGCAGCCAAAACACTCGTCCCTGTAGCTGGACTTCTCTGGCCAGACTATCGTATCCTCGGCATCCGGCACTGTAAGATTATAACCATGACCCATTACATGGTCAGCCCTAAAACTAACAATCTTTTCAGACATGGCCCTCTACCTGCCTTGGGGAACGTGGCAATAGTAAAGGGCTTACATGTCTCTTTAGGTTGCAGTCGGCTATGCCTAGCTCTCCCCTTTTTCTACTGAATGACTCTCTCTCGTCGCATGTAGCCGAGAGTGCTTCTCCTCAAAGTCACTAGAGTGCCGACTGGAGGTGCTGGCTCAGAGTCACTGCTCGAGCTCTCGGGCAAAGCAGCCGCCTGCCCGGATAGATCAATAATGGGAGGATCATTTTGTACCTCCTCCCTTGAGTCTGCCAAGATAGAATTACTCAGGGTGCTTGGGGCGCCTGGTGGCACGTCTGATATCTCACTAATCGACGCTTAAAATTAGGAGCCGTGTGAATTTGTTATCCTGGTCGTGCTCTTTGTTTTGGCCATGGTGTCCTACATAGACACATAGACAGTCGGACTTGGGGAAGTTCGCTAAGGGTGGTCCAGCATGGGGGAGTCGGCACTCCTGGTTCTAGATTCAGCCGTCCCCGGTGATCGGCTGATCACTAACCTAGGTCGTGTCGTGTGCTTTTGGGCTACCATTTTTGAAAAAAGGAAAAACAAATAGAGAAAGTGCAAAAGAAAACAGGCAGTTACCTTTGAGTGAAGAAGTATGAACTTTTGAAAAATCAGGCGGCTGAAGAAGCAGGCGGTCTGAAAACAAGCGGCAGTCGTCTAAAATGTCAGAGCAAAAGTCCAAAATTCTGTCAAGAAAAGTTTCTGGAATGTCCAAATGATTTGGACGTCCCCTATTTATAGGGGGGAATTTCTAGGGTAAAAAAAAAAAAAAGGGTAAAAACCGTTAGCCTATCATAGCGTGACACCTGTCACAAGCGCCACGTGGTATGCCACGTCACCCCTGTGAACGGCAAATGATTAGGGGATTTTTCCCCGCCATGTGGACCACTCAAGCCCTACCACGTGTCCGCCACGTGGACTAACCAGAGTCCGCCATGTGTCACCTCGTGAGAGGTCCAAGGTGAGCCAACTAGGAAACTGGCCTCTAACGGCCCAAATTCCTAGGCAAAGCCCAGTTAGTCCTAGGTTTACTGAAACCTATTACCGGGCATATTTTTCAACACCCTATAAAAGGGAGATGTTTCCCCCTCAGGAAACAACGATTAACTCACATTAACTCACACTAACTCACAATCAGAGAAAGTCAGACACCACCAAGAGGCGGACAAGGGCATAAAGACAAAGGATGTCATCTCCTTCATTTGGAGGAACATTATCACCCGGTTTAGGGTACCTATGTCTATGGTCTTTGACAATGGCCCTCACATTGTTTTGGGAGATCAAGGGATCTCACATTGTTTTGCATCAGTCGGTCGTCCCCAAGCAAACGGCCAAGTTGAAGCCTTCAACAAGCTCATCTCAGACAGCATTAAAATGAAAATTAAAAGGGCTTGCAGTCTATAGGCAGATAAGTTGCCTCATGTCCTATGGCCCATCAAAACAACTAAAAAAGGGGCAACTGGTGAAACCTCGTTTCTCATGACATATGGCACTGAAGTCGTCCTGCCTATTGAACATTATGAGAAAACACTTCGAATCATGCTCTATGATGAAGAGGCTAATTGGGAGGCCATGCGGCTAGAATTAGATTCACTCCCGGAGCGCAGGGGCAATGCCGCCTTGCATCATGAGATTTACCGTCTGAGAATGACGAGAGCCTACAACAGAAGAGTGCACAAACGACCCCTAAAAGTGGGGGACTTTATGTTACGAAAAATGGAGACAACCGGTAGGGCCAATGAGCAAGGAAAGCTGACCCCTAATTGGGAAGGCCCCTACCAAATTTTTTAAGTAGTGAGAGGCGGCACCTACTACCTGGAAACTCCAGATGGCAAACAGCTAGCCAAAACTTGGAATGTAGACAACTTAAAAAAGTACTACTTCTAAGACTTGAAATTTTTTGTAAATAGAGTCTATCAATGAAACGATGCTTTATTTTTATGGTTTCTTGTACAAAGTCCCGTCTGTGCAATGCACAACCAAGCATACGGTCTGCTCTAACTTGAGTAGATATAGGCTTAGTCCAAAACTTAGCAGCTATTTTGAGGCCAATGGCCGGATGACATTCTAACATGAGCAGGCAACCGGCGACGCCCATTCGGGTGAATTCGTCAAAGAGAGAATCTCCCATTTGGGTGGTACATTGTTCTATAAATCTTAACTCAAGCGGCTTTAATAATTAATAGAGACCTAGATACAACCGGTCGTTGTTTCAAAACAACACAAACGGTAACTGATATCTTGGTCAGATATAACCAGTCTTTGCCCAAAGGCACTACAGCTGGTTACAAATCAAAATTAAGCAAGGTCAAAGCCTTAGCTGCTAAAACATAACATGGTTATGACCCCTACACCCGGCCAATGGTCGCCTACTATTATGTAACTGGCAAAGACAGATTACCCTAAGGGCTAATTCACAGCCGGTTAATAGAATAATCTAGGTTGGTCTCTAGCCAAAACCGTCTGCTATTCCAACTTAGAAAATAAGTTGACAAATCTCTCTAAAGGCGGCCAAAGACCATCTATCTATTCGTCTGGATGCTTGATTGGACGGCTGCCTACTTAGGTTTGGGCAATTACCAAGCAAACAACCGTCCAAGGGCAGATAAAGCCAATGCACCCTGTAAACCGCATGTGTTAAGTTACATGCAAAAATATTCGTGCATACCAGAAAATTGCAAAAATTGAAGCAAAATATATCAAGAGCAAATATAGGAAAAACCGACTCAGTCGGCAAATTCTATTAAAAATAATTGTCAATCGGAACTACGTCTGGGAGGAAAGAGAATACATATGAAATACTCGGCACGCAGGCCGGAAATAAAAAAACAAGATTCACTACTGCTGGGGAGTTTGAGACGTCTGGCATTGGCCAGATGGAGGAGCATCTTGAGTTTGCTGAGGTTGGGCTTGATTAGCGTCAACCGGCGCTCGTTCTTCCGCCTACTCCCCCCCTGATCTTCCTCGAAGCCCGCAATGCCAGCCCATTCCTCGAAGGGAGCCGGCTTTTCAAGGCCGAGAGCCTGAGCATCGTACACTCGGTGGCATACTTGTACCTCAGCTCAAAAAACTCCCATTCGTAGTTCGGGTGAACGAGGGGCCAGGCCATCTTCATACGAGCCTCGCAGTCCTGCTCGTTTTCAAAGACCAGCCAGTCCTGCTCGGCCGCCAGCTCGGTCTTGTGGTCGCCTGCGTCTGGGCCAACTCGTTCTTCAACCGGGAGACGTTTGCCCTAAGCTGGGTGTTCTTCTTGTCAGCATCCCCTAGAGCCTTGACATCGGGCTGGGGGTTCTTCACTTGCAGCTCAAAGTCAATTGCCTTCTTATTTTCTGTCTCCACAGCCGCAGTAAGCTGCTTGATAAGCTTCTCCTGTTTCATCTCCCGGCTTTTAGTTTTAATTCCATACATTAATGTGTTGTATTAAGTAACATCAATGAGATCAGCCGCCCGCCAATTGGCGTCTCTTACCTCATCCTGCTTCTTCCTCAAGGGAACCTTGAGGCATTTACCCTCAGCATCACCTGCAAAATCAGCCGGAAAAGAGTTAGTATTTCAAATATTATACAACCGCCAAAAAGGTAAAAATGCATTCTATATGCCAGCCGGTGGAGAGCCAATTTGGCTTTAATACCCCAACCGGCAAATTACCTCAGCAAGCAGGGCATTGAGGCGGTCAATGTTGACCTGATGCACACCAGGCACCGCCTCCTTCTTGGACCGTGTGAGGGTCCTCAACATCCTCTTTGCATATTGTTGGAGGTCAGGCCAACTACAAGAGGCATCTGCACCAATAGAGTCATTTGTTAAGTAACGAGCATAGGCGGCACCTATATTTTGCCAGCTGTCGGAGGAATCCCCTGATTGAGTAGCTTGGGACTTGACTCGCATAGGACCAAGCGCCCAGGGGGGATCAAAGGTGAAAGCCATACCTACATTTTCAGGCTAAGGGGTCACCCTACCCCTAGCCGCATTGGAGCCGGTTGCTGCAGCAGGCTGCCGGCTCGAGGGCGTTTCAGGCTCCCTCGTCTCAAGGTCAACCGGCCTTGTGCTTAAGCCAAGGTCCTTCAGGCTCTTGCCTGCTGAGGTGGGCTTGTCAGATACAGGCGGCCTTCCAGAAGAGTAGGGGGCAGCCAAAACCCTCTTTGTCAGCATGTCTTTTTAACATTTTTACAATGGAGCGAGGAACATTCTTGCTCCTCGCCTAAAAAAGAAATAGAACACAACTAGTTAATATATGTGTTGACATCAAAACTATACAGACGGTAAAAAGGACTCAGCCGAAGCTTACCCCATCGTCCTTGGCCGCCATTTGGGCCTTCTCTTTTCTAACTGATCCTTCCGGATCTGGGCAGTAGACTTGGCCAGTGTCTTCTCAGGCGGCACCATTTCTAGTCCTTTTTCTACAAAAAGAAAATCAATGTCAAATACAACTCAGAATATTATAGACGGTAGAAAAGAGCCGGTTAAATTTTCTAGATACGTCTATTGAAAAAGGTGTTAAAGTCGCAGGCGGAGAGGAAAGCCTCATCCTTAAGCCAGTCCGGATGGGGTACCTAATTCTTGGGTTTAATAATCTCGGATCCGTCATCTAGGGGCATGGTTGTTTTCTCAAACAGCTCCGCCTCTATTATTTGTGTATATGCCTCCTCCGGGAAGTGGGGAAGGGCACACTTCTTCCCTAGAAGAGTCGGATCCCTATTATAGTGCTAGAGCTCATGATTTAGGCGGCGGGAGGGAGACGAGACTAAGTAAAATTTGCTCTTCCAACTGCTCCATTTTGACGGCTTGTCAAGCGTCATCATATATTCTGGGTGAGTGGTCAAAGTATACCACGCCCGCAAGCCGCCTAGGGCACGGCTAAGGTAATGCATATGTGAAAACGCCTCCTAACTAGGCGTTACGTTCTGCATCTTGCATGCGACAATGTATCCTAAAATATTCACCCAGGAGTTGGGTGTTAGCTGCCAGACGCCTAAATCATAGCCTCTTAATATAGCTCTGATGGCGTTGTGACGAGGGAATCGGAGACCGGCTTTAAATGCCGCCTCATAACATCCGAAATAGTTATCGGCGTGATCAATGTCGTCAACCTAGACGACGGTTGCCTCTGCAGACGATACTAATACTTCCCACCTATCCCCAACCGGGCATTTCTTTATGAAGGTGGGGAAGGTGGCATTCACGGTAGCGATGTCCTTGGCGGACATGCTCGCTTCAGTGGGGTTATTGATGGAGGGCCATTTATACGCCTCCTTATCCTCCCGGAAGGCATCCGGTTCTAAAGATGTTGACTCCTCTGAGTCTAACTGTTGGACGGTCTCGTCGCCGCCTACATCCTCAGACTCCTCCAAAATATTGTCACTGGGTGTTCTGGGTGCACCCGGAGGGTTGAAATATTCTATATCAGCGGGCACTTCTGTTGAGCCGTCTGATCTGTAGTCGGGGTCAACAGCCGTTCGCTTCGTCCGAGCCATCCTGTCCTGCACATGCACAGAGACGGTCAGATTCGTGGAAGAGAAAGGGTGGTCCAAACACCCCCAGACGGCATCCCCAGTCCTAGACTCAGCCGTATCTGGAGACCGGCTGACAACTGTCCTAGACTGTGGCGTGTGTGTGTTGGGTGAATCCATTATTCTTTACAAAGCATACAACCGGAAAAGCTCAAAAAAGTTGCAAAGGGTAGAGACGATACCTTGAAGAAGCTTTAAAAGTGGAGAAGGTTGACTAACTGAATCAGCAGCCGGAAATCTTGTAGTTGCTTGCTAGATACCCAGACGGTTGCCCTGATGTAACCTCTTTGAAAACAAGTGAAGATTGTTGAGGAACCCAAGCGTTCGAAGCCTTGCTTGATGATACCCCAGACGGTTGACCGGCTGTGGGTGTATTGAAAGCAGAGGGAATTAATCAAATAGTATTCAGGCGATTCTAATGAGCCTTGAGTAATCTTTTCTCTCTCTCCGAAATTCTCTTTCAAATGATGTAAATGAAGAGAAGGGAGGGGGGAAGGTCTTACTTATAGACGAATCCCCCAGAAGGCGAACTGTCGCCTTTAAAATAAATAAATAAATAAATATAGAAAAGAGAGAGAAGGAGGCGAATCGTCGCCTTCTCAGATTGTGACACCTGTCACAGGTACCACGTGGCAAGCCACGTCACACCTGTGAGGGACAAATGTTTAGGGTAAAGATACTCCTGTCCACGTGGACCCATTGCATGCTGACACGTGTCACCCTCAAAGAGGTTCTGAAAGAACCAATCCTCTGATGACACGTGGCAGTCCAAGTCATCGAAGGGGAGTTGATCCACAAAGCCTATAAATAAGGAGAGATCCCCATTTATTACAGATTTAGAAATATTCACACATCAGAGCAATATTAATTGCAGATATTCTCTCTCAGAATCCGAGAGAAAACTCTTTACATTTCGCACTTTTAACTCCGTTCGTACTCATACTAACTTGATCGTCGGAGGAGGAACTCCACCCAACCGGAGTTTCCGTGGTTTTTCAGGTACAGACGGTCGACACCCATTCTTGGAATTGTAACTCTCCCGAGGGACTCCAAAAACCCCGAAACAGTAGGGGTTAGCTACCTTGGTAAAGATGGAAGTTCAGAACGCCGGAGGTTCTATTGTCGACTATGTTCAGGTATTGGTCAAAACTCTCTAGTTAAATAATTATTATTGCGAAGCATGGTGGACCATTAAACTAAAAGGTTAATTTATTTCGATATATAAGTAGTAGAGTTGAGATAACTATTACCGTTAAAAGTCATTAATCGAAAAAAGTGATTATTACTCTTAATTATAAAACGTTATTGTCAAATATTTCTTTTAGTAATACTAACAATATCATCAGTGGTATAATATAAAGTGGCAGTAGTATTATTAAAAGTTCTAGTAGTACTATAAAGAATCTCAGTAGTACTGTATAAAAACACGACCACTTGCCAACTATACATGTTAGACATATACTCCCTCTATTTTTAAATACTTGCTACATTTTCTATTTTTGGTCGTTTTTAAATACTTGTTCCATTTCCTTATTTGGAAAACTTTTACAATAATAAATTCATTTCTCTCAACTGGTGCACTCAACACAAATCATATTTTACTAATTTCATAATTCTCTTTCCTCCAATTTTCTCAACTACTTTTGCTTTTTATAATTTTTTATACTTCCACATGTCCCATTATCTTTATATTTTATTACTTTAGCGCATAGAAAAATGTACCAAGAGAGAGAGTATTTCATACCTAACGTGAGCCCTTAGAAAGCCATCGTAGAAATACAACTATGAGGCACTGACACGGAGTGGCGGAGTATTTGTCATCAAATAGGATATTTAAACTACTTTTATGTTAAAAAAAAAAAAAAAAATTAAAAAAATCTAGTTTTATATTAAGACTTGATGTGGACTAGTGGACTTTAATAAATTACTCTGTATTTTGTTTCTTGTCTAATAATAGCTTATATAAAGTTAAACCACGTTACCATATTTGACGCCCCAGTCCAGCCTCCTACGATTGCCACCTGTGCTCTGCAGCCCACAGAATCACAAAACTAGTGACAACTCAACAAACTAACCACTTTATTACCCTTTCTTTCTCTCAACTTTCGATATTTTTTAAGGAATTAACAGTATTCAAATCACAATTGATTGCTAAAGAATTCTATAGATAATAAATCAATCAAATCAATGGCGGAGAAAGGGGAAATCATTGAAGGGTTGAGATTCGAGCAAAGACATGGAAAACAAAGGGTTAGAGTTGGAAGAGTTTGGAAGGATTCAATTGGGTTTTATCATTTTGTTGAATGGAGTGTTGGTATCAGTCTTCTTTCTGATTGCAATCGCTCATATACCCATGATGATAATTCTGATATTGTTGCCACTGATACTATGAAGAACACTGTATGTATCTCTTTCGATTTCCGGTTTTCGGTTCAATCTTCGTTTTTTCGGGTGTCTTTTGCTTATAATCAATCATCATTGATGTTCTTGAGTTAGATTGGTTGTGTATTGAATTCTGCCCGATGATAGTAGTTTGTTGTTATTGTTGCCTCTGTTTTCTGTTTGTCCAACTCGGGAGCTTAAAGACTCCGATGCGTATGAAATCTTGAAAGATTCCAGCGGAATATGGAATCTGATAATATAACAAGTAATATACATAAATAGTAATTGTAGCTTGTTGGATTTGGTTTCTGGAAATTTGTTTAGTTTTGAGATCAAATGATTTTTTGAATGGTTAAATATCGTAAATTCAATGTATTTGATTTGGCTTTTTAAAAGTGATAATAACACAACTTCAATTATATGATACTTCCTCCATTTATTTTTAGTTCTAATGATTCTATTTTTGTGCTTGTCAATGTATAACTTCCACCATTATTAAATATGAATATGTAAAATTTATATAAAAAAAAAGTTGATAGTATGTAACTATACATTTAGATGAATCTAACATAGTTATTTTTCTATAAGTATAAATTTTCAAAGATACTTAAAGATAAATTTGTGAGTTTAATAATTGAAATGTTGCAATTAATAATAAGCAAAGGAAGTATATATGACTATATGAGGGCCCTCCCAAGTTCAAAATTTTCATTTATGGTGGTGGGTGGGTTGGGAAGGATATTAATTAGATTGGCATTTTGCCTCTTATTGTAGGGTGTTTATTTAGTTCCCGTTATTGGATATTGTATTCCACTTATGTTAGATACAATGTAAATAAAGTGGGGATGTGAAACAGGTTTACGCAAAAGCAAAGGAGAGCAAAGAGCAAATTACTGCTGAAGATTTTGCTATACTTCTTGCTAAGCACTTCACATCATATTATAAGCAGGTAGAATATTTAACTTCCCTTGCAAAGCTAAGGGCTTGTTTAGTTCACTTTATTTTTGCTTATCTGTATCCGATGTGGTCTAGTCCGATGTGGTCCGGTCTGATGTGATCTGGTCTGATGTGATTGTCTGATTTGACCAAATTTTGACTTAATTTTTCAATCCGCTGAATCAGCCTGCATAATGGTTCTTCAAGGGATTGATTGCTATGATTGAGTTGTTATCGTGCTGTTTTAAGCAAAAGAATTACACCGTTGATACCAAGATCTATTGGCTAAACTGTGGTAACTCTCACATGCCTTTTTTTTTAAGAGTAATTGTACTTAATCACCCCTCAAAACACCCTATTTTGACTTTATCCCCCGTTTTTTCGTTTATTTTATTTTACCACACACAAAAAAGAAAAAAGTTATATTTGTGTGTCACGCAAAATAATGTAATTTTAGCACGCAAAATGAGATGGTTTGTAGCACGCAAAATGAGGCATTTTCAATAATGCTTGTCAATTCTGGCCTCAAATCGAATCTAAAGGACTAATATGACCCTCGAAACTTTAATAGAGCAAGTTTTGGCACGAAAATCGATGTTTTTAATTTTAAAGGTGGTGAAATATAACATTTTGCGTTTTTGTGGACATTTAAATAAAATAAAAGAAAAAATGGGTGGTTGAATTAAAATAAGGTGTTTTGAGGGCCGGTAAAATACAACTTTTTTTTTAATTTACAGTATTTAAATGTTGAAAACCAAAAAATAAAAAATAAAAAAAATAAAAATGACTATGTCTTGGATTGAGTAGTTAGAAAGAGAAGGTAGAATTTCAGTGAAGTGATAGCATTAACAAGGATGAGATTTGTCTGTAGCTGCCAGTGTTCAAGTCTTCCGTTCATGAAAAGTTAATCACCAAATACATTAGAAATTTTTATGGATTGTTGATTTATCTTGGGTTATTCATGATCATGATTGTGAGTAGATGTAAAATAATAAAGGAACTGCAGACATTGGAAGTTTGCAAAGTATCTTTTGGAGAAAATGATTGTATATGTCAATGTTTGAAGTTGTTGACCTTTTACAAGCGTGCTGAGGTATGCCTGCTGTTGTATTTGTTTCTGGAAATTCTTTGGCTGTTCCAAGTTCTTTAAGAACTTTGTCTCAGTCCAAATACATCCTACCTTGCTTGTGGTTTTCCTTGTCATTCAACTTAGTGTAAGGTATACTTCCTCCGTTCTTTTTTACTTGACCTGTTTCTTTTACCACGCTTGCCAATGTAAAACTTTAACTTTATCTCCATAAGTAAAAATTATAAAAATGACTTATTATGATAGTACTTATTGAGACGAATTTAACAAGATCCCACATGAATATGTTGTAACTTATAAAAATGGTCAAAGGAAGGGTGGTGAATAGTGTAAAAGTCAAAGCGGGTCAAGTAAAAAAGAACGGAGGAAGTATATGTTAAGGTTTTTTGTTTTCAGTGGTGTGGTTAATAATTTAGCTTACTTGAGGCTAATTGATTCTTCCAGTTACCTCTCATTCAAATCCATTCCGCTTTCCTTAATGGTATCAAACGAACCCTAAGTATCTGGTTTCAATACTATATTTTCAGTAGCATTTGTCATGGCTCATTTTTTGGTTCCTAATATTTAGTTTAAGGAATGGTTTTCTTGCTTAATAACGGCTATACAATGTCTAAGAGTGTTTTCCCTTTCCTTCTTTCATCCCGATACCCTTTTTATCTCCCTTTTACAGGTTACCACCGCCATAGTCAAGATAGTAGAGAAGCCATGGAAGCGTGTGAATATAGACGGTCGACCACATAAGCATGGTTGGTAATTTAATTGTTTCTTATGCTATTGTTATGCAAAACTGGTTGTAGCCATTTGGAAAACTGGCTGTGTTGTATGATTTCCTGTCATTATCAATTTCTGATGCTACTGGCAAATGATTCATTGTTGCAATTTCTAATTACTTTTGATCTTGTTTTCCACTGAAAAACTATATAGCTGAATGCTTCTTTAATCTTGAAAAATATTGGTGTTATGCACTTACAAATTATGGTCCTTGTCCCTCAGTATTTAGTTCAGTTATTCAGTTATTGTCCTGCTCACACCATGGAATCTAGTCTGCTTGTTGGTGCCAGTTTCTTTGTTTGATTCTTTTAGCTTTTAATTGTGTATATCCTCATACAATATCCACTTCAATGAATTCTGGCATATTCAATAGAACTGCTTAGAAAACAGCTGGGGTAATCTCTTATTGTCACCGAGAAAAAAGCTGTCAAAAATGCTCTTATTTACTTAGACAAGTGAGGTGGCAAGTTCGGCACAATGAACCTGAAAGAGAATAAATATGTTGGTATATTGTATAATTTATTGACATGGTACATAGACATCTGATGCTAATTATCAACAATATTCTCAGAAAACAGTTAATTTTAATTGAATTTGACTATTACTTTATCTTTCCTTTTTTTTCTGCTGAATTTTTTTCTGTGGACTTACATATTACCACTTATATGTTTGTATTATTCAAATGAAATGTTGTTCTTATAATTTAATCATTTACCATTACTTTTCTTCTTGAAGGATTTGAACTTGGATCTGAAAAACATGTTGCTGAAGCCATCTTGAGTAAATCTGGTGCCTTAAAGTTATCGTCAAGCATTGAAGGATTATCACTCTTGAAGACCACGAAGGTAACATGATGCTTTAGAAAAATTAATTTCCATTTGATCAAAAAGAAAATGTTTTCCCCTGTCTTTTATTGATAGTATAGATGAAAAAGGCTGAACGTGTTTTTCTCATTTTTCTCCATTTGAAAACTATATACTGATGGAAATGTTCCCCAACCAGTGAAGCAGAGTTAGTGGTGTGCTTAGAAACCTAAACGCTAAGGGAGTTTTGTGTTTTGTTTAATATTCCGTATCAAACATTGTAAACAAAAATGGGATTTGGTTTTTCTAGGCCAGAAGGAAATATGAAGTCTGTGAGTTTCATAATCAAATGGCAAATGGCTGAAATGTCTCAACAAACAACTCAAAGAACTAAATTAGATATACTAATATGGGCTAAAATGCATCTGACAAGCTCTAACATGAAGTATGAACAACTCAAAACTCAATTATCAATTTCGGCATCTAGTATGAAATTCATAATATTTTGAGACGTCTCTAATATTTTGACAAGCTCTAACATGAAGTCTTAAAATATTATGAAATTCAAAATCAATAAAGTTGTAAAACAAATAAACATTAACACATTAGACGTCTCTAGTAGAATTTCCCTTGCTGTAGGAAATCAGGTCAATGTAGCAAGACTAGAAACCAAAACTCTCCAAAACACTAAAGCTACCAGATGTTTCCAATGCAAGTGCTGTAATTTTTACACAATTGACTAGATGCTTCTCTCACAATGTAAACTTGTGCTTAAACATGAAATCAGCTCCTAATAGCTGCACAAATTTCTATTGAGTCCACGAGCATACTCTAAAGGCTGCAAAGTCGTGTTTAACAACTGTTATCAGAAAAAAGATATAAAATCTCCATTAAGGCTATCCCATAGATGCAAATTCAACCATTAACCTGTAAAATGATTCAGAACTAAAATATTGTTAAGACTAAATTATTTATAAAAAAAAAAAAAAAAAAAAAACCTAGTGTGAGGCAGTCTAATACTTGACGTAGTCAAAGTTGCTTATATCCCATAACTAGCATAAATCCTCATTGATATATGAGGGTCAACTCGTGTTTGTAAACTTTAACTGAACTTCGGCTTGCCTCATCTATAATAGAAAGCTTTGTAATAGTATACCACACAAATGTGCCATTGAATTGCTAACATGTAATGGTTATTATTCCCTCTATCCTGTACAAATTAGTAAAGTTTATAATTTGAATATTAATAGAGATTTTTCATTTGGTACCATTGTAGTTTTGATTTTTCCATTTGTTACCCAATTTTTAGTTTTACTCCACATAGTACCATTGTAATTTTCACTTATTTTTTACTATAGCATCTCTTAAATGTAACATTAGTTTGGGGCAATTGTGGTCCTTAAAAAAATTTAACTGCAAATTTTGATCGTTTAAGGTCATAATGACCCCCAAAACTTTAACCGAACATTTTTTTTTGCGCAAAACAAATCGAAATATACAAATTGAGATAATTTTCTTACACATAAACCGCAACATTTTTAAGCGTTTTTTTTTTTTTGCTAATTTCAACCTCAAACCTAAACCTTAAGGCCGCTAAAGGCTAAAACATCCTCTTAAAACTTTAACCGATCAATTTTAATGAAACCCAAATCGAAGAATACATAATATATTTGATGGAATGCTACAGTAGAGAATAAATTGAAAGTATAGTGGTACCATTTGGAATAAAACTAAAAATTGGTTACCAAGTGGAAAAGCCGAAACTACAATGGTACCATATGGAAAATCCCTTGGTCCTTTTCCTCTTTCTTTGTCTTACATTTTTCTCTCTCTACCCAATTTCTATGTACTAGTTCTAGTAATCCAATGGTAAAATTTATTTTCAGATTGGAGTATCTAATAGTTGTTTTCGGAAAGCAACCTCTTGCGCTCTTTGTATAAAATTTCTACGTGAGGCTCTGTGTAAAACCGCCATGGGAAATATAGGCTTTTTAACTCAAAACAATGTTCTTATGAAATGTAGTTTTCATTCATTAATGACTTGTTGATTTGCTGCTACCTCTAAAGGATTAAGTTGTTACATCTGTAATATTCATTATTTATTCTCTAGTTAGACATTATAAAGTAATGTTGATTTATCTGATGGAAATATTTACTAGTCTATGCTGTCTTACAAAATAAAAAAAAAAAAAAAAATGGTTTAATATTCCCTTATAATTTCATCTTGTTTGTGAGTAGTCTGGTTTCGAAGGATATGTTAGGGACCGGTACACACTTTTGCCCGAAACACGAGAGAGGATGCTTGCCACAGAACTCACGGCTACATGGAGGTATCTTACCTGTTACGCATTTTAGTCTGTATATATCTTGCTCATTCTTATTGAATCTAGTAACTTCCATTATCATTTCGTCACGACAGTACCAACCCACAGTTTAGAAATGGAACAGTGCTTTTTCGTAGACCATTTTCTACAAAATTACAAGGGACTAGTCAACAATACTTGCTCAAATGTCTCACAGAAGCGTCTTTTACTTATTTATGTATGAAGCTGTAGCCTTGTCCTATACACTATACCGGGATAGATGCCTTTTGGGCCAAGGATCTTATTGAGTCAACCTTTTTGTAATCTAAGGTAATGACTAGGAGGAGTCTCTTGCATTTGTATGGGTAAAGTGTATGTGTCTGACCCCCTCTACCTGCCTAGGTGGGAGCCTCAGTCAGAGGCATTTCAGTAGTTATATGATAAAGTATACTGCTCTTTTGATTTTATTGTTGGACTGCTAACTCCTTAAGAGTTGTGCTTTCAATATGTTATCAGCATTCCTCACTTCACCCATGAAATTTTGAAATTTATTATGCTGCTGAAACAGATATAACAGCTGATTGGAACTCTTCTTTACTCCTTAAAAAAAACCATGAAACAATTGGTACTCATGACTGAATTTATACAGGTATTCATTCGAAAATGTTCATAACATTCCATCAAAACCACTGTACTTCGCTGAAAGATACTCTGATTTGAGGAAAGTGTTAGTTGATACTTTCTTTGGTCATCCTGATGAAGGTGTTTATAGCCCATCAGTGCAGAGCACACTTTATCAAATGGCAAAGGCTGTTCTCAACAGGTTATAGTCTCTACCTTACATTATAGTGCATGGTTGCTGGTAGTTTGTGTAGTATTAATAATTAAAACAATGTCATTTCAATATATTTACTTTCTTACTGATTTGATCCTTCAATTTTCGAAATATCAGATTCCATGTAATATCATCCATCAATCTGAAAATGCCTAATCTGCATTTCATTCCTGTTAATCTATCGAGCATGCAGAATCCAAATCTAGTCAAGGTATAAGTCCTCTGTTTTAAGTTGATGATGAGTTTTTTAAAATATGCTAGAAACTTATAGATGGATATGCTGATTTGTAGTTCGCCGATGATGTATATCTTCCTACTGATGAACCCCATGGATCAATTGAAGCAAGCTTGAGTCGCCTTCATTCAAGGATGTAAATATCCGTGTAAATGTATATTGGGATGGTTGTTTCTACTTTTCTTACTCCTTGGGATCCAAGCAATAAGGCAGGAACATTTGCTTCTTTTTCAGTATTTTCCCCATATTTCTTTCGGGATTTTAGAACTCTTAAAGTGTTAAGGAGCTGCTTAAAGTAAAATAGACAAGGTTAATAACTTTTCTTATAAAAAAAAAAAAAAGGTCAATACTTACACAATTGATAAAATAATCTAGAAGTCTTGTTTCAAAACAAAAAAAAAAAAAATTAAAAAAAAAAAAATTCTAGAAGTCTTGTTTTCTCTCTTAGGTGCCCCTAATTTAAACTTCAATTTTACATGTACAAAGGATATATTTGAATAATTTGATAATCTAATAAGTGTTTGATAGCTAACCATTTGATCTATATACACATAATGTGTGCGTAATATACATGTTTGTGAATATACTGTATTTATCAAGTTTTCATACTTAGAAAGCTAACTAAGAGTTTAGGTAGTAATGATCTTTAATTATTTACATTTTGGTTATTATTATGTGTTGAGAAAGGTATGAGCAACACTGACATAATAACAGAGAAAAAAAAAATGAAAAATCAAATTATAAGGAGTTAAATTTAACCAAATAAAAGTAAAGGACTACTCTGTATGTTTTTATTAAGTAAAATGTTTAGAATTTTTGTATTAATTTACCTAATCTACTTTGATTATGGTTAGTAATTTATACCTATTCCAAAAAAAAATAAAAAAAATAGAGTTAGTAATTCATAAATAAGAAAAAATATTGTCTTGTGGGTACTTGTTAAAATCTTTTTAATGAATAAATTATTAATAGCTCAATTGTTAAAATTTCTACTTATTGATAAATGAATATATTATTTTTACATTGGCATGGAACATTTCTATTTTAAACATACCGAAAGGGTTGTTGGGGTGTTCCCTCATACTTGGAGGAAGTAGTTCAATTTATTGGACTAATACAGTGTTATAAGCCATATGGATTGAATAGTTTTAGGGCCCATATGATGAAATTAGAGTAGTAAATTAATGTGGGGGTTAATAGAGTATGACCTGGAAATTAAGCGTGGACAACATGTCACACAAATCCCACGCACAAAATAGAGGAAGGAGAAGGAGAAGGAGAAGGGGGATTTCTCTATAGAAGTAAAAAGGTGTCATATTTACAAATAATACTAATCAATAATGTTGTTAATAAGTTCAAATAGAAATGATATTTCCAAATTAAATGTGATGAAGGACGTCAACATGTCTCGAACTTCATTAAGTTCTTTGCTCGTCAACGGACCACCCTTTTGTACCTTGCAAAACTTGGAATAAACAAAAAGTATGTTAGAATTAATTACTTAGGTTATGCATGTAAAAATACATTTACAAGTTCAGTTAGGCAAAAATTTATTACTTAGGCCTATATGACTACTAGGATGCCTATTTTCTACATTTCTTGTCAAATCAACTCATTCTTATTCATAACATGTCATTATTACTTAGTTATAGGCGGTTAAGGCTTAGAATCACATGAAAAGAGCAATCTAAGGGTTTTAGGACGCATTTTGATTCAAAATGACCCAAATAAGGCATATTTGACTACTAGGATGCCTATTTCCTACATTTCTTGTCAAATGAACTCATTTTTTCTAATAACATGTCAATATTACTTAGTTATAGCCGACTAAGGCTTGAATGCACATGAAAAGAGCAATCTAAGGGTTTTATGACGCATTTTGATCAAAAATGGCCCAAGTAAGGCCTATATGACTACTAGGATGCCTATTTCTTACATTTCTTGTCAAATGAACTCATTCTTTCTCATAACATGTCATTATTACTTAGTTATAGGCGGCTAAGGCTTGAAATCACATGAAAAGAGCAATCTAAGGGTTTTAGGACGCATTTTGATCCAAAATGACCCAAGTAAGGCCTATATGACTACTAGGATGCCTATTTCTTACATTTCTTGTCAAATCACATGAAAAGTGCAAATAAACTAAGTCAATGGCATACCTCATCAAGCTGTAGTGTGTTTGTACAACGGCTCAATATGTCAAACATGAATCTCATCACGTATAGGCCACAATCAACTCCGTTATCTTGTTGTGCGCACTAGCATAGGAACAAAGTACATGAATCAAACATGCATAGCAAATTAGCAACATTTTATGCATTGTTTATTACGAAAATCACAATATCATGTGGCATTACCACCGGTGATTTCCATGTAGGACCTTGAGGAGCTCGACAATTATCTTCTTCATAACACTATAGAAAAGTAAGTTCAAATATGATTGGTCCGCACGTACACCTCTTTGTGAGAATGATCGAGGCACATGCTTGGTGTGTCATCAATACAAACGGGGCATGCTTTTTTTCCTTTGTTCTTGTACCCAGACAAGTTGCCATATTCAGGAAAATCATTAACGGTCCACATAAGAGCTGCACGCAATGTGAACATTTCATTCTTATGAGCATAAAAAACCAAAACCTCTTCGTCCCAAATCTTTCTCAAATCGTCAACAAGTGGCGGAAGATAAACATCTATGCCGTTTCCAGGTTGCCTTGGCCCCGTTATTAGTAGTGAAAGCATTACATACTTACGTTTCATGCACAACCAAGGAGGCAAATTGTAGATCACTAAAAGTACCGGCCATGTGCTGTGTTGGGTACTAAGAGTGCCAAATGGATTCATCCCGTCCGTGCACAACCCTAGCCTTAAATTTCTGACTTCATCACCAAATTTCCCAAACTTCATATCAATGTTCTTCCATTGCGGGGAGTTAGCTGGATGCTTCAGCATTCTGTTTTTCTTTCTTCCCTCTGCATGCCACCTCAAGTTTTTAGCATCTTTTGGTGTTGAGAAAAGACGCTTAAACCTTGGAATGATGGGAAGATACCACAACACCTTAGCAGGAGGTCCCTTCGTACCAGCATTGCAACTCATGTGCTTGTAGCGCGACTTCTTGCATCGTGGACACTCCTCCAATTGTTCATATTCATTTCGATAAAGAATACAATCATTAGGACATGCATGTATCTTCTTATACTCCAAACCAAATGGACACATGAGATTTTTTGCATAATAATAAGACTTAGGAATTTTATTCCCGTCAGGCAACATCTCACTTAACACGGTCAACAAAGAAGTAAAACTATTGTTCGTCCACCCATGCTTCGACTTAATGTTAAATAGTGTTAGCACAGCTGATAGTTTGGAGTATTTTTTGCACACAGGATACAAAGGCTTTTTAGAAGCCTCCGATAATGACTCAAACACGTCACCTTCAACACCACGCATCATCTCATCCACCCCTTCATCCTCCACCTCATCCACCTGATCATCCTCAAATTCATCCTCATCACCATTATCAATAATATATTCATCATTCCTGTATTCCTCGTCCACACAAATCTCATTGCTTCTATCATGCACATCATTCCCATCAACATCCCCACTATACTCTCCTTCTTCACCGTGCCAAATCCACACATGGTATTTAAGCCTAAACCCACGACAAACTACATGATCTCTAATGATATCAACACTATTGACTACCTTCACATTATTACAATCAACACAAGGACAATAGAGGCAATCGACACCCACTCTGCGCTGATAAGATAAAGCCCTCTCGCAAAACTCTTGAACCACATCAAAGAATTCCAATGTATCACGTCTACCATACATCCAACCACGATCCTGCTCCATTGAGTAAATTGTCTCTAAACATAGCAACATATTACGAATAATGTATAATTAATCAAATTCAAACACACACCATGCATATAACATTCTTATAGTAAAAAAAATCCATATATGCTTCCAAAGGGTCCTTATCACTCCAACCTAACCCATCCTTGAACGTGTATGTCGACTATCCAATTTTAAGGAAAATCAGGCAGCATTTCCCCCCAGTTCTCCAAGTACACGATGTAGATAATTACTTACCCACATATGTACCCAGAGAGCAGGGTGAGGAAATGATACGCCAAGATGTTCCTTAAAATCGAAAAAAGAAGACATACATTCACCACCTAAGTGAGAGTAAACGTTCAAGAACAGTCCCAACCGGGGACTATTCAAGATTTTCTCCTAATGAGAAAGCCTTGAACGGGTATCTAGGCATATGATGATATATGCATTTATATATTGTTGTATTTATTTGTTATTAAACAATACACAAGTTGTACTAGCATGAAAAAACTTTCATTAAATGAATAAAGAAAAAGAAATATAGATTAGAAAAGTTTATAATTCATACCACTATAGCAAGTACAATGGATGTATTCCTTTTAACTTCCCACTTGAGCTAAATATGTAGTCTTCAAGCTAAACTTGTGCTTCAATTCACATATGAATCTATTAAAAAAAAAAAAAAGTTAGTAAGTAATTAATACCTACATACATTGCTAAAGTATAATGCATCATTAATCAAACTAACAATTGCTAATCACTATTTTTTTTAAAAAATTTAGAGTAAATAATGTAATTCCATTAATTTATTCACCCATTTATAACACAATTGCTAATCACTAATTCAACCACATTATATTTTACATACCAAAATTCAACCACAGTATATTGTACAGTAACTAATTGATGGTACAAAAATTAAGAGATGCTCATTTTTTTTATTTTTTATTTTATTATTTTTTTTTATGAAGCAAGAGATGCTTAGTTAGATGTAGTATTATTTTCCTTGAGTAAGAGATCGACAATCGAATTCGTATGTCTTTAATGAACTAAAAATAGAACAAAATAAGATAAAATAGACAATACTTGTATTAATTTCATAGTTAACTGAAGCTGGATTATACAAAAGATCTCTGTGATAATTGTATTCTCTTAAGAGACATTATAGTTCAAGCACATAGTACGTACTACGTAGCCCTGATCAAACCAGAAAACTAAGGGTTGGAATTCTACCAAGACTCGAACTAAGCAAATGTGAAACTATTTACTGTGCTATGATGTTTGCTTTGCCACAGATTCAAGTGTTTGCAGAATGCTGTCTAAGGATTTGTCAATTGGAAACGCTCAAAGTTACTGGCTTTGTCATAATTTTGAAATATGAAAACAACTATGTCTAATCTCTTATTTATATTTTTAATGAATAAACTTCTCACTTCACTCATTTTCTTATTTATTTTAGTTTAGCAATTTTTTTCTTTGTTTTATTATTTTATTTTATTTCCCGGTAACCCCCTTGTGTTAACTTGGTTGTTTAGGTGGTCGTTCAAGGTTCGAGGCTCGAAATTGAGCACGAGCAACAAAGACTACAACCTATTCTGCTCCCTGCCTCCACCTTGCTGCTATGTCACCTTAAAACCAACACAACTCCACCAATTCGCACAAACAACCACGCCTCACCTCACAAACCCC